TTGTTTTTTTACTATATTCGATATACTGTTAAATGTATAAAATCATCATGAATAATGAATCAATAGATTTGAAACTCTGATACTATTGAAGTAAATGTTTTATCAAATCTAGATCTGTTCATTCAATCATTATAATTTTTTAATGATTGGATAAAACTCGATTGAGTCAAACAGTTGTGGTTAAATGATCAGAAGCATAGTAGTTGTTTATCAATAATGTGTGATTGTAAATGGTTGAAATGGTGGTTGTAGTGTAGTGAACGAGAATTCAGGTGAGGACTCAATTAAATAAGCATTTTTATTAAGATTAACTATAGCACATGATCATTGTTAAACTAGCTATTGAGCATTTTGCACTAGTTACGATTATAAAGAATAGAGATAGGGAAATAAATAGAATAGAAGACATCCAATTAATCTATTTGACTCTCACTAACTCTCATATATGTATAAGTATATATGTGACTAGGTAGTTCAAAGTGAATAATACAAAAACATATTACATTGTTCAGCATGTTTCTGTTTTCTCACAGGTTTGTCGAAATTTTTCAAAATGAGATTAGCTCACTTGATATTATTTACTTGAACCTTCCGATTGACGTTCGAGTCCCTGAGTGAACATCAGCTCTGAGATGCAGGTATATCCAGTTGACGAATCCTAAATAGGACGAAACGCGCGTCCTGGATTCTACTGCTAGCCACTATCCATCTTTGGAATTAGTTGTCTTAAATCTGTTTTCATTGTTTTATTACTTACTTTAATGAACTATCCAGTTTGAACAGATAAAAAACGTTAGAAAACAACTGTAACTACGAATGATGATCGCGAATTCACAAGACCAACCATGTGAATAGAGAGGTTTTCGTTAATTACATTAGCTCATGTGGTTTTAGTGATAACCATTAATCCACTAAAGTTAGGATAATTTTACCTTTAAAGTTTTTTTGAATTTCCAAATCCTACTAATATGACATTTTGTTATATTATACAATTAAGTTGTTTTAGCTACAAGCCAAATACTTTTGTTATATACCGGCTGATTTGGTCTGTTGTCAGTCATTTATAACTAAATTAAAAACTGGGACAAATATGCAATGACTTATGTGACCATACATCTTATCGGAGCAGAATGAGACGACTAACAAGATGACAAACAAAGCGGTAGAAAAAAATGGTCATCGGCCTAAAAAATCCAATATAAATCAATTGGCTATAATTCAAAATTAACGTATAAAATTGATTAATAGAAAGTATGGGAGAACATTAAAACCTAAAACATATACTGATAAAAAAAAGATGAGTACATTTACACCTTTGTGACCGATTACAAGCTATTATTCATAAGATCATTAACCAATAGTTATGATTACTTTTGAAAACCCTAAACGGAAATCATCCATCCAATAATTAATAACTTTATTATTTGACACCACTGTCTTCATTTAATCGTCTGTAGAATTTCTCCAATCTACTCATATGCTAGTCATCATAGAACATCGGGTTAAGTGATGGCTAGGAACGAGTAAATCATGTTCCGAATAAATCACCGGCTGTTAACTCACAGTCTCATTAAATTATTTACCACTTCTAACTAGTCACTTTTATTTTAAAAATGCTTAACCAATATTCTTTCGTACACATGTATAATGCTTCAAAATAACTACTCATTCATTTCGAAAATCATGATATTTTTGATTATTAAACTAAGTTGGAGTGTATACGGTTATATCACTAGTTCCAACATCAGTACTAACTATATTTCGGCAAAAAGTCCCATTTTAAACATCACTACATTAGATATATCTTACCCTTTGAATCATCATCTGATCAATATTCATTAAATCATATTGAAAGTTAATTATTTTAAATAGTCAACATAGTTTTAGCGTATAAATATAATAATTAAACTTATCTAGATTTTCATTTATTTCGTTAACTTACTACCTAATTTTTAGTATTAATCATGGTTCTGTAACTTATAGGATACTTTGTTTTTCTTCACTCAGTTTTATTTAATTACTTTTTTGTTTATCAGTACAGTTTTTTTAGAAATAAGGAAAATCATAGTTTAAATCACAAATTGATTTAAGTTAAATAATAAATCACTGAAAACCAGGAAGCACTAGATTCATTGTGAGAACTGAAAATCCAAGGTTTGATAACTGATTGATTTGAAGATATATTGTTCAGGAGGTCCTAACTAGAACGAAGCAACTGTGCTCTTCTTCACAGTACTTAGTAGTTTGTCTGTGTTATAAACTTCTTTTCTTATTGAGAACAATTTGACTGAATACGTTTGTCAAATAACTGTACTTTGTTACGTACGTATACATATATTTATGAATAAACAATAAACTTAAAATTCTTACTATTTACTGTCAAGTATTTGATATTCACTAATGGTTTTCACTTGTATTATCCTTTTACAATATAAATTATATTCACTAATTTTCATCCATAAAATAAGTCAAAAAAACAAACAAATGTGTTGATAATACATGAAAATGTCAGAGGTTTCTTACTTCATGAAAGTAACATTAAGCATATTGGGAAGAAGGGAATAGATCTTTTTTTAAAAAATAGGTATTTCTAACTAATAGTTTCCTGAATGAATTACATTTTTTGAGGTTACAATTTCATAGAAAAAAAAACTTATAGCATAAGTGATCTTTAAAGAAAAAAATTGTCAAATTTGACAAGAAATTAAATTCAACTAAATTAGCTTGATGTTGCTTTTTTCACCTAAAATGTAACTAGTTGTAATTGTAAAATAAATCAAATTAAGAAAATGACATTCTACCAATTGACTTACATATCACATAGTATAAAAATTACAACGAACGAAGGATTACAACTTTAAATGAATGGTACATATCATGTTTGGTAATACAGAATATATTTATTAGAATTCTATTTCAATTTTTACACTTCTTAAATGATCACTTGTTTTGAGGAATCAAAAAGAAAACATTGTTCTTTTTTATTAGAAATATTATGTTACATGGACCTAGATCTTCAAACTCTGTAATCTATCATATATTAAGATATAAGAGAAGCACATAGAAAATGTAAACTGTTCCCATAACAAATCCCTGATTCCTTACAAAGAGGAATTGTATCAGCTTTAGAATTTATATTTGTTTCTAGTACTTCTCCGATTCCAATTGTTCAGAAGATAGTCTTGTACGTAATAACACCGGTCACATGACCATTACTTAATGGTATAGTTTAACTAAACACATTCACAAAATTCATAATCATCAAGACTGCAGATAATTTTCAGAAATAAATGTTGGCTTAGGTTTGCTAAAAAAAAGATTCAATGGAAGTTCACTTCCACACAAAATAATTGTGACTTATATCAGTGATGGTTGTCTTGTGTTCCCTACTGTCAAAGAAATAAACACATTGTCCAAGCCAGTGGTAATAATCATAGTCAATTGTTCTTTGTTGTCTCATTCGGCCTCCGTATTAGTTCTATCTGTTCGGACTTTGACAAACATATTGTAAGGACTCATAGCAATTGATAAATCAGTATTTCACTAAATTTCTAATTCATTTTCCTTTCATTAGTGGAAAATCTTATAGAAACAATATAGAACCTAAGCAAAGAACATTGTTACAATTCACAAATCCCTTCAGAAAATAAAGGGCTTCATATACTTGGCGAGGTTGTAAAAGCTGCATTTTAGCGAAGTAAAAAATCATAACTCATCATTTCCAAAGGGCCCAACAACAATGATTCAATTTTCTTAGTTTTAAAATTAGTAGTAATTATCTTCAACCTTGTAGCTAAAAAATTCGAGGTGCAATTAATGTTCTCTTCTGACTGTAAATGATACTATAAATGATATTCCAGTCTGTACATGATTATGAAACCATCTAGCTATATTCACTAGAATAATTATTGTTTGATATCAGTGGTATATTGGTAGTTATGCACTACAAATTGTAACATCAAGCTGTAGTGTAGTATAATTCAAACGACATCATAGTCGTGTGAGACTTGATTAAACTAAGCAGAGATTGAAATTCTACTCTGATATATTTTTTTGATGTGACACTTAACATTTAGTTTTAGCAAAAATTTGTGGCAAGATAAAATGAGTGGTGAAAATACACTTAGTAACATACAAACAGAAGTACTTCAGAAGTTTAAGAATCCCCATAGAATATTCAAAACAGACAATATTTGAGCGAAAAAGTGTTTCCAGTAGCTTTATCGTCAGGTTCTATAGCATGCCTTATTTTTGCCTTTGCAAAATATCGCAATGATTATGAACTTATAACTGTAGAGTCTGATGATAAAGTTATTGAAAACAATTCTCCAACCAAACATTCTTTGTTTTAGAAGTGGTTCCCATTATTTTCTTAAGAAAGAAGCTTACTACGATTTTCACGAATGACACTATAGCGCTTGTAGTGAAGCTCTGTTACTTTTAATAAAGAAACTTTAAAACTTGGAAAGCTTCTAACTTATTTGAAAATCGACATACCTATAAACACAAGGACTTCATTATTGTCGATTCTGTAGACAATAACTAATAAACTGTGTTGTAGTTTGAAAAAAGATATATACATCAACTGTAGATGCATTTAGTTTTACAAAGTCGTTAGTAGGAACCCCACTCATCCAGTAGGCAGTATGCATTCAGAGATCCATAAATATAACTGACTAGATTTCGTTAAATATTAATATAACGGGATATTTGACACAACTAAATGGAGGAAAAAATTTACAAACAGTAGTACTCAATGTGGATATAGATTAACAGATGTCAATAAGCACTAAGTATTTTACAACAGAACTTTTTGGTAAAATCCGAGAAACGATCACACACTCAAATTACTTATTTCTAAATTAATCTCAAGCTAAAGTTGTTTTCATTTCTTAAACACTTGAAAACCTATGGTGAACACTTGTAGATAGATTTACACTTCATATTTTTGGCCAATTTCAGTAGGGAAAATCAAACTTCAGACGTTGAAAACATTCACACTGAATAGTACAGTTCTATTTTTAAAAATCTCCAAGATTTTTCCACTTAGTCGGTATGACAACTTAACAGTAAAAATCTTTATATATATATCAGGTTGCGATAAATTTGATGTTCAAAATTTAAATCTTGCTAATTTGCCTACTTACAAGTAGTTAAATAAACTTCAAAAGCTTTTTTGACACAAAAGGAGGGAATGTGACTGAAAAATTTAAAAACCCATTAAACTGATGAAAGATTATCTAAACCAAAATAAAATCTTGATAAATAAGATTTATAATGATATTCTGCATAAAATCAGTGGTACTGTTCAAATTGAATATAAGTAATAAACTCTATCTGTCCATGATTACAAGGATACAATTTAGAAATAATGGTTAGATGAATAAATAAATGGTCAATAAAAGTTTACTGTAAAAATGTAAAATCATATATGCCAATTTCATATTGCTTTAGTTGTTTCCTAGGTCACCAAAATGATTTTTAGGGTCGTATGCTGAAAAATAAAAGTGGAAGGAAGTTTAAATTAATACAATAATTTTTAGAAAAAAATAAGTAGAAATTTAAAAGGTTACTCTGTTGTAATTGATTATGAAAAGATTTCCAAAGTAAATATTATACTCAGATAAATAAAATAACCATGAGACACCTTTTTTGGAATAAACGTATTTAAGACTAGGTACTTTCACTTATTCTAAGGTAGTAGTTCATTTTAAATGAGATTTATGAGGTCGAATTAACCGACCATTTGATTAATAGACTAATGTAGCTTTAATATATATAAATAAGTTAATAAAAGTGAAACTTACCAGGAAATATGTGTACAGGGACTGATATTACACAGTACAGAATATTAATTTAAAAAAAGAAAATTTCATTTTATCCCAATTATAAACACAGATTTCGCTATGATTCAAACTACATTTCTTTAATAAGACAGTCAACGAAAAATATTTCATCAGCGAACATTCAACAAACTAAATTAATGAACCTAAGTCTTTAGATCTAGCATAGAGTCGTTGACTTTAAATTTGATAATTCATACATTTAACTTAACTGAATTTGTAATATAAAATATAAGTTCCATCCGTCTTCCTTGAGATACTATTGGACCTTTGGTTTAGCTAACCCTGTAAGTAATTTTCAGTATGGGGTTGTGAAGATTGTTGAATTTTATAGAGATCATGAATTGATGAATGTTAGACCTTTATTGAGAACCTGAGAGCACTGGACAGCGATTTCGTCCTGGTGTGGGACTCTTCAACAGCGCTCATCCATGATTCCACACGCAGCACTCGAACCTAGGGCCTTCTGACTCGAGCGAACACTAAACCTCTAGACCACTGAGCTGATATTCGACGGTGTCATTTTATAACTTTAACCAATCCACGATATTGCGAGACCGGTTTCCATTGTCTTCAGTGGGCAACTAGCTCACACCCGACACGATTGAACTCCACTGGTAACGGCTTCTCACTAGAACTCTGAGAAAAACATCTCACTTAAACATTATAAGTAATAGCTAGTTAGAAGAAGCCTTATCCCAGATAAAAAATAAAATAGTGATGCAAATATAATTTCAAGATGACTGTCAGCTTTTATAAACAGGATCAATCATTCCACTAGTATGAAAATCCTCGCAGATTAACACTCACTTGTAAATGTTAGCTGAACAAGTTAGCACGTTAGACAATATTAACATTTATTTGCAAGTTAAATTGCATCTAGATAGAAGAGTAAATTGACTACATCATGAACGCTCTTATGAAATATTCTCTTAAACGCAAACGAGCGTTTCTAAATAATTTAATGAAAATATGTCTTCTAGATCATCTGTACCCATAAAATATTCGTTACTTTTGGGGAATTATCTGAAACTACTGCCCAAAGCTCGAGCAATAGTGTGAAAAAAATATTTATACAATACACTCACATACCCATGATCTCGAGCTGCAAATATACTCAATTGACATTGTTTCATGAAATAAACTACTTACAACTATATATATATATATATATATATATATATATATATATATATATATATATATATATATATATATATATATATTCATTACGTTAGAAGATCAGTTTGCAATTAGAATTACATTACTTACCTTCTACAGAAACTTTTGTCATAAATTTTTTGTCAGTTGTTTTTTTGTCATTTGTTTCATGACATTTTTCAATTATTTCCTCTAAATTTAAACCAGCATTTTGAATAGATGCATCGAATTTCGCTTCAACACGTTTACGAGCTACAATTTGACTTTGTCTTGTTAACAACAATGGTTTAGATGCAACACGTTGTTGAATTGCATTCAATTCACGTTGATATTCTGCTTGACGAGTTAAATCATCTTGACTAATATAAAAAGAATTTATATAGATAATACCAAATAAATAATAGGCTTCAATACTGCCGATAATTATGAGTGAAGTCCCTTAAACGAAATGGGTATTGTAATACACAAATTAACAAACGAAACTGGATTTCATTTCTCGAGATTTTTTCAAACTATTCTATTTGTGAATTTTAAAAGCTCTTCTGTTTACAATATAATCATTTGTTAATAATAATTACCTTTCTACTATTTCTGAAAATACTGGGCGTTAAAATTGTAAAAAAAAGCACCGTTCTGAAGAAATGCAAATAAAATAAAACTTTGATATTTGTTGTTTAAGCAAATGCTTTATATAATTTACTTTTGGATGTTTCGAAAAATTCCTAAATTCTTACTATATGGGATCTGAAGTACCTATTGAATTTCATAGTTTACATCATGGACTGATTTTAGTTAGGCAATGATTGAAAAACAAGAAGCATTGGACAGCTGTTTCGTCTCAGTATACCACTCTTCAGTAATTCACATCCACCAAACTACCATAGATCAAACATATAACCTTCAGGTTTCATTGAGAATCTTTAACCTACAGAACACTCAGTCAATCGTTTGTATTTCTATCTTCAATCAATTCGAGATATTGTGAAATCAACTCCCAATGCTATTGATGGATAACTGTCCTACACGCGACATGGACTTCATTGATTACATCTTCTCAATGTAAGTCCAAAAATTACGTCTCAAATTTAACTACCAATGAGCATATTATTATTATTACTATTATTATTATTATTATTATTATTATTATTATTATTATTATTAGAGGTATGTGGAGATTGTTACATTCCCGAGTTTACATCATGGACTGCGGAAGAATTTCATACTAGAATAATGCAACTGTTCAGTTCTTCCTGGTTTTTTAATGGTTGTCTAACTAATATTATTTAGTGATATAAAATGTAAAAGTTGTAAATTATTCAATGACAAATTCTATCACTTGATTATCATATCAACATTATTTCATCAATACTTTAATTTGGCTTCCTGTATTATTTGACTAAGTAATATATTGAAACAATATAATATAAATTTGTCTATATTTAATCACTTACACTAACTGACGTTTACGCTCTTCGGTAATTGAATTGATAAGTTGTTTAGGTGATATGATTTGTCCGCCTAATGTTTCCTTCATTGTATTGGACACTTCTTTCTGTTTCATTTTTCTTAAATATTCTGTTTCTTCTTTCTTTTTTGCATCTAAATCTGCTTTAGCCAGTGAATTTCTAAATGCAACGAAATAAAACAACAAATAGTTACGATAATAATAATAATAACAGGTTAGCCCTACTGAGGTTGTCTAGGTCGACAATGAAATCTTCGTCGGTAAGTATTAATGATGTAAAAAAAAAATTAAATAACAACTATTACCTCCTTCCTAAATAAATATTATCAAACATTTTTGGAGAGGGGAAGGGTTTATAAAGTGCTTATGCTTTAAATAATTTAACGTTAACGAAGACATTTAACAAAACATTTCAGACCTCATAATAACAAGTTTTTAATGAGGGACGTATGGTCTATTAAATGTCTCCTTTAGATAAACAGTTCTATTACTTTATTTATCATTATACATCGGTATTTTTAGTACACAGAACTGGCTTATGTGGTTGTTTTTGAATTCATAAAATTTTGTGTTACAGAATATGTTAAGCTGGAATTTTTAGACAAAATTATATTTGAAGATAGTATTCATCAAGGATTGACATAGGTAGTAGTCTATCACAAAGTCATTTGGGTCGTTGGTGAGTAGAGTTAAAGAGTTCCAAACTAGGACGAAACGGATATCTGATGTCCCCTACTTTCAGACGCTTACTTTATTTGATGTCGGTCAATGACGAACACTATCCTCAAGTTGGACTTATCTTTACAAAATATCAACTAAGTATCGAAGTGATTTATACTAATTATAGAGTGTTACTAACAAATTATATGACGTATGTATAAACACCCTTGTTAAACTATATGATAATCAAATTGAGATTTATTGGTAACGACGATAAGCACAACTTTTATATACAGGCTGATGTGAAAAGTTGATGTGTGATTTTTCTACTTTGGATAACTCCATTACAACTCACTGGCCGACCAATTCTAAAATTAGTTTATTTATGACTCAGCTAAAACTTTAGCAAACGTCACCAACACATAGTCGCTGTCACTCTTAATTTTGTTTCTTCTGAAAACTACAAATTCCCATAAAAAATGAAGAAATTAAAACTTCTAGGATGAGTAGCGGGTTGACACTAAACCGGTAATATTTTCGAATATTACTGATATCAATCACGTGTTTTCTTAGCACTTAAACAAAATTAACTGTAAATATATTTGCATGTATATATGCCTGTATATATATGCCGACTCAGTGGTTTAGAGGTTAAGCGTTCACGCGAGATCAAAAGGTCCTGGGTTCGACTCCTGAGTGCAGAATCATAAATGCACAATGTCGAGGGGTCATAGGCTAGGACGAAACCGTCACCCAGTGCTTTTAGGCTTTCAACGATGATCTAACTTAGTTCAGTTCATAATCTCAACGAAATTGAACAGTCTACATGATCGCTTACAGACAGTTATTTATTTATTTTTTACACCTGCCAAAGACAAGACAAATAAGAGATACTTAAACCTACCTAATATAATTCTCACGAAGAAAAGTTGATCTTGATAAGGCTGGTGGAATTGAAGAATCTAAAACTAATCTCAACCAATAAAATGAAATCATTAAAAAAGTGAACAAAATACAATTTAAATAATTAGTAAATATTGACTTACCTAAGTAAATCAATGAGAAAATTTTTATTCATTGAAGTTATTCGACAAAACTTACCACATTATATTCCACATGACGATGTACACATAAATAAATTTCTCCTATTTTATAATCATTTAATAAATAGTAGTAAGTTGTAACAAATTATAATAAATCCTTTTAATAATTCCGCGTATTTCAATCATGGAGCTGTTATAGTATGAAGAGTACGAATAAACACTTACGATGGAGATTTCTGAATGTTATTAAAATCGAGAAACAACCCAGGCAAGACAACCAGTGAAAAACAGCAAGCACTGGACAGTTGTTTCGTCTCAGTATACCACTCTTCAGTAGTTCACATCCACCATACTACCATAGATCAAACATATAACCTTCAGGTTTCATTGAGAATCTTTAACCTACAGAACACTCAGTCAATCGTTTGTATTTCTATCTTCAATCAATTCGAGATATTGTGAAATCAACTCCCAATGCTATTGATGGATTACTGTCCCACACGTGACATTGTTGAACATTACTGGTCACACCTAACCAGAACTAGAAAAATTATCGCTTGAAATTAGTCGATATATATAATGTCTTTATATAATTACCGGGTATTATTTACTGTCAACTTCTACATCGAGGACACTGAGGCCGCAATGATAACGTAACCTATCAATTTATTGTACTGCCAGTTTTAATGATGAGCCTGACATGGTTTAATTTTATAGCTTGATTTTATTATTATTTGGACTCTTTTTGATTTAATAATTTTTTCATCACAAAGATTTTAGAGTATATTTTCTTTCTTCCCTTACAAGACCATTTTATTTTATATTGTGCGGACGAATATTTTGGTTCGCAGTAATATCAGGTGCTTATTCCATTTTTAAGTAAATTCCTTGTCCTGTTATCATTAATTTATTACCTGGTTGTTTCACAATTGACTGAGAAATATTTTCTTCCGTCTTTTTCATCTTACTTATTTCCAAAGAACGACGATCAACTGAATTAGCACGTTCACTTGTTCGTAATTTAAATGATTTCGGTCTAGTTGGCTCTGGTGGTGGCTTCCATAAACGTCGGAGTGTTTTATTAGATTTCCAGTGTAACTGTTTAAAATCCGGAGCTGGATGATAATGATGATATTGTTTTTGTACTGTTTCTGGTTTATCTAAATCAAGAACAGCTGAAAGAAATGTTGAAATGTACAAAGTTCACAGATTTTTTTATCAGAACTATTGTAAGGAATTTCAATCGGCAAAATTAACACTTGTAATGTTCCTCACTTGACAAGCAAACATCACTTGTTTACTTTACAAATGATACAAATCTAGTATAAACTAACGATATATGGCAACAAAGCTTTAGCAGTGTTAAATTTTAACATTCAGTATGGAGAGAAAAACCGTTCTTTTAGAAGGAAACTTTTATTGTCCTTACAAAAGCGATATTATTCCACAGTTTTCTCGTACTCTTCGCCTCTTATTGACATAGAAAAACAGAATGAAACTACATAATAATAAACAAAATAACTCATTAAATAAAAAGCAATAACTATTGTGAAAAGTATGGTTCCTCATTCTATGGTATAATTTCATTTCTTAAGAGGAGTTTAAATTGTAAAACGAAACACGAAGTTTCTAGAGTATTCTCAAAAACTTCCTTGTTTGTTTCCAGCCTACTCATAGAGTATAGAATATCAACATAGATTAGTCAAGATTTAATACTAATAAGTCAATATTACAGAAACCAGTATGAACAGGATACTTTCTGTATATATCTACCATCATAGAACTTCTATAAATAAAAACACACGATACCTTAGGAAATAACCAACATTATATTACTGTCGATTTAAATTTTCCAAATGAAATCTAAGATTTTGTTATAATTCTCTCTTACGGTTATAACCCAGTAATTCCTATTGCTTAGTATTCTCGGACACCGATTCACTCGACAAGTCCCCAAATCAGAACACGGTTGAACAGGAAAGAGATTATATTCCAAATAACAAGGTTAGATGGAAGTAAGAAGCACAATAGGAAAAACGTTAGTGTATTTATCGTTTTTACATGAGAGGATTTCTAGAGTATTCTCCAGGTATCGACTAGCGCTGATTGGGCAAGAATTAGCCAATCACCTTGCACCAAAGCAATCGTGCATTGAGCATGCCTTAATCCAATCTATGTCCCGCTAACAGATTTTTAAAAAAATTTATTCAAAGATTATGTATATCATTTGAAATTTGGTTTTCATTCAGTTTATTTTTGTATTCGTTCAGTGTAAACTTTGTTTATTTGGTCTTACGTAGATTTTACTTTGTCTATTAAATCTCAGTGATTTTGCACCCTAAGTGACAATTATTCAGTTTACCGATTTATATAACTAATAATCAATAATTTTCATTTGTATATAACCGAATTCTTCTCGGGTCTTTACCAAACAAATCATCCTTGTAAGATGCGTGTTTTACAGTAATTAGAACTGAAAGAGAAGGAAGCTGGCTCATCATGGTTTAAAAGGTACGTAAAATTATCGTCGTTGTAAAAGAATAGAGCATATATGTTTTTGTGTTAACCCATTCAAACTACGATCTTTGTTCAACATTCACAAAACATGTTATGAAATTAATATGATCAAACTATCTCCATTAAAATGACCTCAAAGTAATAGTCATTTGTCGTTTTGTGATTTTTATTTCTATCCCTGGTTATTCTCATTTGTTGACTAACAAGTAACTTAAATTTATACCCATTCTTGTTGAATATTAAGTATGGAAAAAATAGTTCTAATTTCCCGAAAAAGTTGATTAATAGTTCCGCTTTTTAAGACTTAGTCAGTTGTGATTTCCAGATTGGGTTGGTGAGTAAATCATAAGATCGGCCATCTCTGTCATTGAGGAATTTTATCATATCGATTGAACCATTCTGACAACTCTTTCCCACGATGCCAATAAATAAAAATCCGGTTATCTAATTAACAATAAGTTCACTTTCATGGTTTAAAGCATTTCTCAACATCATCGGACAGCGTAACTTATCGATTTACATCATAACAACTTCAGAAAAGGAAAAATTCTGAGCTTTATAGAAGAACTTTTGGCAAAATCCTATTGAAATTAATATGGACGATCAAAATACCAGATATAAACGAATCTAAGTAACAGAAATCATCTGATTGTATTACTTAGGAGAAAGGATTTTTACGTGCTGCTGAATCTGTCTGTTAACCCAACTATTGAATTTAGTGGAAATAACCAAGGTGATTATTTAATTGACAAGTTATTCTGATAAACGTTGTAAGAAATCTTTTCTTTTGTGTGTAAGTGGTAACTAATAGGATTAGAAATATAGTGGAAAGTCGCATACTGACAAGTACATCTCATAGACTTACTAATTCGATTAAGTCTTTTGTCTCTAGCTTTTCTTTCTTGCTTCCTCATATTCATACGATGTTGTCGCTCCTCCATACCTGGTGGTAAAGAAGCCGACTGTAGTAGTCTTTGGGCACGCAGGTGACGTTTAATTTGTTTTAAAAGTAGATCCTCTTGCATACGTTCAAATCTTTTTTCATATAACTGTGATGGCAAGTTTAAAGGGTCTGGAGGTTCATCATCTTTAGAATGTAAAAGTTTCTTATCAGCGCCGAAGTTCATATCTTGCTTAATCTTTTCCTGACTGAAGCTAAAATAAAAAATAAGATTTTTTGTTGACAAAGTGTTTAAGTTATTTTTATAGCAGTTGATTTACTCGAAATTTGATCTGTCCTTTCACTCCCGTTAACAAATAATCACTCAATAAAATTAAGTCTTTTGATATAATCCTTCAAATTCAACAACTTTATAGAAACAGTAACACTAATGTAATTACAGAATATACAAAAATAATAGTATGTGAGAAAAAAAATATGAATCCATCATTTATGAAAGAAAAATGCGCATTATCGATACTGCATTTTCTAAGTTGAGTGTTTTAATTAACCAGCCACCATTTTTCTATCAGGAAAACATTGCGATCTCAAATTTTCAAAATTTCAATCAGCAAATTATTTAATAAAATGATTAGGAGTGGTGTAGTGATTTTGAATTCATTTATTCAATCATCGCTTAACAAAAGTTCATTTCAGATAACTTTCTTAAAAAGTGTGATCTTTTAACTTCACAGTTCTCTTAATTTTTTTTTCTTAATCTTGACTATTGACTAGATTCATGTTAATAAAGATGCTGAATGTGGCTTAAGTAAATGCTTGACAACTCTGTAAAGTTTCTGTGGCTCATACAGCTTACTTCTGATTGTAAGAACATGGTTCAACCTATTTTAGCCACAATTTTAATAACATTTAGGAAACATCTAAAAAAATACAACTACAAGTGAGGCTTGGTCAATTTTTATCTTAATCTCTTAAGGTTTTTAGTCGTATAAATTAAGCTTCATTGTGTATTGTAGACAATTATACGGATTTAGTCTTAAGGTTTGCCGACAAATTTTCAGAAGCAACAACGCACCCTACCTATTTATTTACGGATGATAATTAAGAAAGGTTCTACGGAAGATGAACTGACTTTATTTTGAATCGATAATTTGCATCATCATTATAGTATGATGCTGAAAGTCAGGTTGAACTAACGTGTAACAACCCTAGAAAGTTAACCTTCATCACCCATTACTATGTCATGAGCTGTTTTTATGTTCAACTCAAACATGAGCAAATACTTCTCAAGATAGAAACCACTGAAGAGTCATACACCTAAATTGCTTAAGCTACTGGACTCTGTTTTAAGATTTTACTACAAATGAATAATGGTTGTTGTTATGCATAAATAGATATAAGTGAACCTGGATATCAGTTACACATCACTACCTTTAGACGCAAGCAATATTAAAAGGATATATTGTTTCTTTTATATACTCATGTCTCTTGAGTTTTATCTATTCATGTTTCTAAACTTATGTGCATAAACGATAACAGAGGAACACATTAATTGGACCAGTTTTAGGCCAACTAATCGTACTAGATATTGATTCAGGACTGCTCAGACTTCTAATATTTCATTTTTAAAACCTTTAAGAACCATCCTGAAACACAAACTCCGATTTAAAACAGATGTGGAAATTTATTAGACTAAAGATAAAGTGTTTTACATGAATAAAAGCTTGATCTACTCACTCATTCTGCTCTTTTTTAAAGTTCTCTCTAACGGTAAAGCTAAACGGTTTTTCGATTGATTTTAAGATTTCTTTGCGATACGCTTTGACAGCTTCACGTCTGAGAGCATTATCTTCCATTAATTTCTCATATAATGGCAAATACACATGTGAAGGTACTGGCTTAGCTTTAAATTGTCTGCTGAGGTGTATATTAATATCATCCTGAACAGTGGCAGGTTGCGAACATCTGTTTTCATTATGGAGATTTTTGATACGTTTTAAAGATTCCTCTCGTTTCGTCATTTCAAAGGGTTCTGGTACAGTAATATGGTGTCGCCAAGGTGTGACTGATGGCCTAGACTCAAGAACAAAATTTTTACTGCCATAGTTGTCAGTGGTTGTTTTATTTTCATCAATTCCTGCCAAAAAATAAATTAGTAGATTTAAAGCAAGAATGACATAACAGGATTAGTCAATATGTTATGTTACATAATATGGTTAGTGAGTTATGAAACTAACTGATCTTAAAGTAAAAAAAAAACAAAATGTGAATCTTTGAATACGATTCCGTGTCCGACGGCTATTCAGGGTAATTGTTTAATTAAAATAGCTATACCAAGCATGCGAAATACTTTAACATAATATTCCAAGCTTTGTTATAGTGTTGCGGTGATCGCGATACTGGAAAGCTAGTTTTACGTGACAGAAATCACGTCACCTACCTGTTTTGATAAAAAATAGCCGCTCATTATGCGACAGTAGGTAATTGTTTAAGTAATTCACACTCATCATTATTCAAAAGGTAATTAAGCACAACACTGTTCTTTAAATTAATGATAGGTCCAAAACTTACACTGGTTTAAAATAATATTTCGCTACATGGACTATACACATAAACATTAAAAATTCATTTGTGGTTAAGATGTGCAGTATTGTTGTTTAGAAGACCTGTATACAACCGATTTGAGTCTGATTTAATTTCAGGACAATTAATTTTAGGATCAACATACTATAGAGCTAAAAAAATTAGTTAAGCTTATATAACTTGTATGTACTTATAACTACGGTGTTGTTTCAATATTAAAATGTCTTCAGAATCAGTCTGACGTCATATTCCGAAAAAGTGTAGCATGTTGAACTAGTTTTTCTGAATTCAGATTCATAAATCTTTTGAGTGACAAATCTACATCTCTTAAAATAGTAGGGGCCAGCCCAAAACTAATTCCAATAAAATGGTGGTCTAGTAAACCTCAAACTACATTTCGCCTCTGATGCCATGGACCACATTTATGTTAAGAAAACAAATACTCTACTAGATTATGTTCTATTTGTTTAACTTTAAAAGGTATACTTGCATCGACAGTACATGAACTCTAAAGTAAAACTTTTAGAACACTAAACACAATGTCATTATTGTAAAATAGATCGAATCGAATGGTCCATTGACCGTAGCGAGAATCAAGAGTAACTCATTTCCTTTCATTCATATCACATTACTACCGTCAAAGTCCCAGGAAAAAGTTTGTGCAAATAGGTGATAATTACGTAAAATGTGGTGTGCATAACAAATAATACTCACCAAATTTTGAACACCCACATTCTTCGTTTTGTGTCTCCGGAACATTGCATCCCCTCGTTCTAGAAAATTCAAAATTCTTTTCAGTATATTTAGATTTAGGTTCTTCTTGATGTAAATGACTACTTTTATTACAGATGCAATATATATTTTCGGAGCTATTTAACTGACTTAGCACTAAAAATGTTAGAAATTGTACCTACTTGCTCAGAAAATCCTTTGATAAATCTTTACCATCAAGTTCTTTCAAAAAATTAACATCGTTTAGTTCGATATCAGATTTACCAGAACTGAAGTAAAGTTTCTCAATTATATCAACAGTATCCCTTTGCTCATTTTTAAGCTTTATAAGCTCTGTATAAAATTCTTCGTCGCTCAAATTTCCATTCGAAAGAAGTTTTATTTTCATCTGGGTTTTGTTTAAGAGACTGTCCAGGTACGCTGCTGTTTTTGTCAGGTCTCCATTCGTCATTGAAAGTATGTCAGCAAGTATGCATTTTGCATTACTGCTCAGTTCTCTGAATGTTGTGCTTTCTCGAACGAAGCCATCGACAACAGATATGTTATAACGAGACAAACTTCCAGTCATTGGAGTACATTCGATATGCCGCCAGGGATAAACAAACTTGTAGAAAGCGCTACAGTAAAAAATACATGCTAACTAATTAAAAGCGATTTCAATTCAGCAAACAATAAGAAAGATCATATGCATGAAAACTCGTGTATCTTTATGCCTTCATAATCTTCAAACACTTTTTCAATCAAAAATTTGCTGTGCTCTCAAATTTACCATACGACACTCAATCTAAGTAGAAATTACTTTCTTGTAGATATTTAACATTATGTTTCATGACGTCCTAGGCTGTGAAACAAAGTTTCGTTATTTTTAGTGAAAATATATGGGCTATTTTCTTCATTATATAGATACTTTAGCGGATTACAGATGTCACATGCATTCAGGGTTTGATAACGCATTTACATGTAAAACGTTTGTAATCTAAATATTCCAATCCAGTCAAATCAAAATTCACAAATAGATGGGTTCAAGGACGTATTTGGAGAGCTTTCGATGTGTTAAGAAACTCGTTGTTCGACCTGGCTAGCAATTGCAATGGATGTGTAGTACAGCGTGCTCACTTGTGATCTGGCGAGTCTAGTAAGACTAATGCAGTCATCACCAAATGTCGAAGACATGAAGAACTATTTATTTCGAGGGTTTGTTTGCTGCTACAGAACATGGTATGAGTTGTTGACGTCTGGATTCTACTGCTGACAGCTTCGACATTATTAAATGCAGAAAGCATAAGTTCCATTCAAAAATCACAAACCAGACCCTCCAAAAATTTGCTTAGGTGAATGAAAATCACAGCAGTATGCTAGCAACTGCCTTGTCTTAGAAACATCTACACAAAAGGCCTGAAAACTCCGACATTGGCAATTATCATAGCAGTCAAATTGACGTACAGAATGCCCTTCAGTACAACACTTTAACACAATTGTAGTGAATTACTTATGTGCAACAAAAAATCACCTAATGATAATGAAAATCAGCTCTCAATCTTGAAGTGCGTTTATTCGGCTTTATAATTATAGGTTCACCCAGGAAGGCCCTCCCTAAACAAAATATGTTTATAATTGGATTATTATATCTAACCCCAGTCTTTACCAACTTAACTGTGGTCTGACTTTTATTTAGATTTGACTATCACTCCGCTTGTAGCTTTTCCGGAGTTACTGCTGGTCCCAAGCCCGCCTAAAGGAGGAGGGTTGGGCACGGGGTTAGTGACCCCATCTCATAGAAAGCTAACTCGCTAAAAAACGCTAACCAGGAAAAATTATTCAAACCATTTAAACTCTGCCCTGGAAGTTAGGTCTTCATTTTGAAGAAATATGACGCCTCATGGTGAAAGCCAAGTTCCTTCGGAAGCCATGAGGCAGGTGCCACTTCTAACAATCAGAGCAACAATTTTTATAGGTACGTGGAACGTCCGGACAATGTGAGAGACCTGGAAGACCAGTCAAATAGCAACAGAAATGAGAAGATAGTACTCGGAATCATCGAAACCCATTGAACCTAAGCTGGACAACAAAGGCTAAATACTCCAGTCACGAAGAGGAAAATGCTCCACACACTCAGGGAGTTGCTCTAATGTTGTCCAAAGTAGCACAAAATGCACTTGTAGGATGGGAATCTCACGGATCCAGAATCATCAAAGCATCATTCAAAACAAAGCAGGAGGAGATCACAATGAACATTATCTAATGTTACGCACTTACCAATGGTAGCAACGACGACGTTAAAGATCAATTCTATGAGAGGCTGCAATCGATCATAGAGAAGTATCCAAGAAAGGACCTCACCATTCTGAAGGGAGATCTAAACGTCAAAGTCGGAATGGACAACACCGGATATGAAGATATCATGAGACTACATGGACTGGGAGAGAGGAGCAAAAACGGTGAATGATTTGCAAATATGTGTGCATTCAACAAATTGGTCATAGACGGCACAATATTTCCACACAAACGTATACACAAAGCTACGTGGATCAAACCGGACCACACCACAGAGAACCAGATACATCATATTTGCATCAAAAAAAGTTCCGAAGGACAATAGAAGATGTGAAAACCAGGAGAGGAGCGGATATAGTTTCAGATCACCACCTGGTTGTGAACAATTTAAAACTGAAGCCAAAGAAGAACTGGACAACTGGACAAACAGCGCTGCAAAGGTTCAATACAGCGTTCCTTCGAGATACTGACAAACTCAATGAATTCAAGATAGCTCTCAACAAAATGTTCCAAGCCCTACAGGATCTACTGAAGGAAGAAGAAACTACTATGGCGGATAACTGGAAAGGTATCAAAGAAGCTTTAAGAGGTTCTAGGCCCCAAGAAGCATCGTCACAAGGAATAAATTTCTATATAAACACTGGACAGGATCAAAGAAAGGAAGAACAAGAAGACAGCAGTTAACAACAGTCGAACACAAGCAGAGAAAGTCCAAGCACAAGCTAAATACATAGGAACGAACAAGCAGGTGAAGAAAAGCACTAGAGCCGACAAGCAGAAATACGTGGAAGAACTAGCAAAGACGGCGGAGAAAGCTGCAAGAGAAGGAAATATGAAACAGCTTTGCGATACAACGAAGAAGCTAGCTGGGAAATATAGTAAACCAGAGAGACTAGTCAAAGACAAAGAAGGAAGACCGATCACTGAGATTCAGCAACAGCGGAACAGATGGGCCGAGTACTTCAAGGAACTCCTGAATAGGCCGGCTCCAATGAATCCACCGGACATCGAAGCAGCACACACAGATCTTCCTATAGATGCCGATCCACTAACGACCGAAGGAATCAGGATGGCCATCAGACAAATCAAGAGCGGGAAAGCAACAGGACTCGACAATATACCAGCTGAAGCATTGAAGTCAGACATCGAAGTAACTACAAGCATGTTTCATCTTCCATTCAAGAAGATTTGGAAGGAGGAACAAGTGCCGATGGACTGGAAAGAAGGACACCTCATCAGGATTCCAAAGAAAGGAGATCTGAGCAAGTGTGAAAACTACAGAGGCATTACACTACTGTCAATATCAGGAAAAGTCTTCAACAGAGTGTTACTGAACAGGATGAAAGACGCAGTAGACGCTCAACTTTGAGATCAACAAGCTGGATTCCGTAAGAATCGGTCGTGCACAGACCAAATTGCGACACTACGGATCATCATTGAACAATCAATTGAGTGGAACTCGTCACTCTACATCAACTTCATTGATTATGAGAAGGCATTTGATAGTATAGATAGGAGAACGTTACGGAAAATTCTTTGATACTACGGAGTTCCTGAGAAGATTGTCAATATTATCCGGAACTCATACGACAGAATACAGTGCAAAGTAGTACATGGAGGATAGCTGACAGATGCATTCCAAGTAAGGACCGGAGTAAGACAAGGTTGTCTACTCTCTCCCTTCCTGTTTCTTCTGGTGGTCGACTGGATTATGAAGACCTCGACATCTGAGAGAAACTACGGCATACGATGGACAGCTCAGAATTAATTAGGCGATTTGGACTTTGTAGATGAGCTAGCCCTCCTATCGAACAAATGCAGATAAAGACAGCCAATGTAGCAGCAGTCTCTGCATCAGTAGGCCTCAAAATACACAAAAGGAAAACCAAGGTCCTCAAATACAACACGGAGAACAGCAATCCAATCATTCTTGACGGCGAAACTCTGGAAGATGTGGAATCCTTCACATACCTGGGAAGCATCGTCGATAAACAAGGAAGTTCAGATGCAGACGTAAAGGCGAGGAGTGGCAAAACAAGGACAGCATTCCTTCAATTGACGAATATATGGAAATCAAAACAACTTTCAACCAATATCTAGGTCAGAATCTTCAATATGAACGTCAAGGCAGTTCTATTGTACGGAGCTGGAACGTGAAGAACTACAACAACCGCCATCGAGAAGGTGCAAGGATTTATCAATCGCTGTCTACGCAAGATATTCAACATCCATTGGCTGGATACCATCAGCAACAGCCTTTTGTGGGAGAGAACCAACCAGCTTCCAGCTGAAGAGGAAATTAGGAAAAGTTGATGGAAATGGATAGAACATACATTACATAAATCATCAAACTCCATCACGATGCAAGCCCTCACTTGGAATCCTGAAGGGAAGCGGAAAAGAGGAAGGCCAAAGAACACATTACGTCGGGAAATAGAAGCAGATATGAAAAAGATGAATAAGAACTGGAAAGAGCTTGAAAGGATTGCCCAGGACAGGGTTGGATGGAGAATGCTGGTGAGCGGCCTACGCTCCTCTGAGAGGAGTAATAGGCGTAAGTAAGTAAGTAAGACTATCACTTTCTTTTTGATTATTTACTGACTTAAATACACCTAGTCACTCGTCACGTCGAAAATCCTGTTCAGTCAAAAAGATTTGGAAGGTCCACTTTATGTAACTATTGATAAATAAGATGCCACTATAGATTTGTAGCGTGGTGTCAGATCGCGCTTGATTATGAACACCACTACAAGACTACGTGCCACTAACCAATAAGATTCCCGTAGGCCAATATCAGAAGGCAGATGATAGCTGTAGTCGAGGTTTATTTGCTGGCGATCTCGTGGTATCGAGAGAATACCGAGATCGTGCCAAAGGAGTACAGGTGTGGTTATTAAGTGTAACCGAATTTGTACAAGTTCAAAGTCAACGGGAGAGTAAGTGTAATGGCTGTCGTTAGTACAGTTAAACAAACGAGCACGGTAAAAAAAAATCACTGGTACAATTGGTTACAATAATAATTGTTTTCATCGAACCAATAATAGTAGTTGTAATATATTTGTTGGCAATCTCGTGGTATCGAAAGAATACCGAGATCGTGCCAAAGGAGTACAGGTGCGATCGGCAAGAAAAGATACGTGCGTATTCGAAAACCGCGTAGAAGCAATGGAATACAATGGAAGACTAAAATGGCTGTTATTAGCACAGTTAAACAAACGAGCACAGTGAAACAGTCACTGGTACAATTGGTTATAACAATAATTGTTTTCATCGCGTTCTGTTGACAAAAGTAGGTCACTACAGGAGCCCCCCGCTAGAAAGGGTACACACTTTCGACAGGTA